GGGTATGTCGGAAATTTGAAAGTTTTTGTCGGAAATTTAGGAGGCTTTGCCCCCCCCCCCCACCTGAAAAAGTGAATTTCCGCCACTGAGCATGCATGACCTTATTGTATAAAGGCATTGCTAAAGCTCTAACAGTAGAACAATATAAATTTACAATAAGCATATATTAAATGCTTTTTACATTTGAATAGTAACAATTTATTTACATAATATAAGCAAGTTACATTAAGTATTGTGAATAAGCCTGGTGTCAAGGCATTCGTTTCGTTTCTTGAAACATGCAAAAATGTATTTCGAAAAAATGTTTACTAGATCTTGATCATTGGAGGATAGTAGATATAACAAGTCGTCATTTGTTTCAAAGTTAATTGGTGTTTTCACTTTGGTTTTGAGAATGGAATTTAGGTCGATCTTTCCGTTGTTGTTCATAAGATTTGCAAGAGAGTGAAAAATGCACCCCAGTGTGCCCTACTTATTTCCTTTACTTGTCTAACATCAGACGATTTTACTTGTCACTGGGGAAGCTCTGCAGCTTAATGGGTTATGACACATACTTTACACACATGTTTTCGACAAGAATATCGGAAACTTTTCCAACAATTTCTGATTGTTTTTTTTTGTTTTGCCCGCCATAGAATGACCAGCAGGTCTCGACTAAGCCAGAGATTTGAGAGAGATTTTAACGTGACTGGTTTGCGTTTGGTGAATTTAAAAGGAAATGTGTGAGTAGATCCTAAATTTTAATTTTAGTAACACTGTTATTAATTAGATACTTATAGGAAATTGGGCCATTTCCAATAAAAAGTCTTATTGGAATTCCAATTGGATTTTTTATAAGGGTGAGTAGAGAATTATTGTAACTTTTAAGAAATCTAGCCTCATCTGCAAGGAGGGGTGCAGGTTTTCCATGGGGTGGTGCATGAGGGAGCCTTACTGTCCACTCTCCTCTGCAGTCTGCAACGCTACTATCCCAACATTACCATTATTTGAGATGGCCGAATCTGCATGTTCGCCGTTCTGTTACGTTTTACATTATCTTTTGTTTATAAAGTTTATCAGCTTTTTATCACGTATGCGTGACTGGACAGTCGCTGTAGCACAGTACCGCAAATTTGCTTATTCAAGTACAGTATATTTGAAAATATGGCTGTATAACAACCTCGACATGTTAAACTTTACATAATTAACTACTGTATGATATTTACTGTAACTAAAGCATTCTAACTATTTTCTCGTGAGCTCACAAATCAAATATGAAATCGTTTCAAGAAATCGACACACGCTAACAGTAGAAGGTCTGCTAATCGCTGTTCGAAACATGTATGGTCAAGCAGATTTTTTGGGTGTGGTGCCGGGCTGCTCTATGGGGATGCTAGACACCACTACAGTAGCCCCATGGTAGATCCACCCCTGGGATGTAAAGAGCGCCATCAACCCACTGCATCGCGACTTATGGCAATAATTTAGTCATCAAGTATTAAAATCATTGTAGTGGTAGTATGTTGCACTGATAAAAATCTTTATTTACAGTTTAAAAAACGTAAAATATAAATCAAGCTTTCGGACTAAGCGTCCATCGTCAGGATTAAAATGGCAAAAATGATCAGTCGCTTAAATACTATTTACATGTCAATGACCTAACTAAAATACTAGGTTTTTTGAATAATTAGACTAAAAGACAAAAGAGTCATAATAGAGTCATATAAGCATAATATAGAGTCAACAAAAGAGCCATAATAAGACACTGGATAAAAGAGTCATAATAGCGTATTATAGCGTCAACAAAGCATTATTTAGTCTTTATCAATTAGCGTTCTAAAAACTTCCGGCAATGTTCTGCCATTGTCTCTATTGGCAATGGCACTCTTCTCATTTTCCATAATCCAGGCTTCCTTCCATTTTCTATGCGACCACCGACTTTCCTTACATACGACCTTGGTATCATCCCACACAATGCGATGATCATTGTCAACTACATGTTCTGCCAAAGCTGAGTTTTCCACCTTCCCATTCTTTACACTTGCATGATGTTCTTTTATTCTTGTTCCTAATGCACGACCCGTTTCACCAATATATTTAACATCACAATCCTGGCAAGGGATGGAGTAAACGACGCCTGTTTCATCTAAGTGAGGTAACTTATCTTTGGGCTTCATTAAATAATTTCTAAGCGTTGAAACCGGTCTTATTGCAACATTAATATTATGTCTCTCTAATACTCTCTTTATTTTCTCTGTAGTTCCTTGAACAAAAGGAAGTACTGCCATACCTCTCGCCATTTACTTTTCTACTGCCTCATTATTATCCATATCAGCTTCTTTCTGTTTCATCTTTCTCCTGACCTTCAATAAAAAATCTTTGGGATAACCATTATTCTGTAAAGATTCAAAAACATGTTTCTCCTCTTTT